GGGTGGGGGCGGCTGCCTGACACCAAAGCGCCGGCAGCATGCCCCGCCGGCCCCCAAGAAGGCTCTGACGCTGGCGCCGGCGGCCCGGCCCCAGCCCGACGCGCGTCGCGGCGCTGCGCGACCGCGCCGCGGGGCCGGCAGCCCGGGCTCGCGCCCTTGTGCCGCGCCGCGCCGCGCGCAAGCGGGCCGGGGCTCGCGCCGCCGCCACAGCCGCCGCCTGGCGCAGGGGAGCGCTTGGCTGCGGGGGACGCGGCGCAAGAGCTTGAGCGGGACTGCGCCGGCAAGCGCGGCGACGGCCCGCAACTTGCCGCGGCGCCGCGGCCCCGGCCGCCGGGCGACGCGGCCGGGAGCGGGGCGTGCGCATGCGGCTGCTGGCCGGCGTCGCGCGCCTGAGGCCGCTGCCGCTGCTGCTCCTGCTGCTGCTGCTCCTGCTGCTCCTGCTGCTGCTGGTGGTGCTGGTGCTGCTGGTGCTGCTGCTGGTCGAGGTGGTGCTCCGAGCCCCGCAAGTGCTGCTGCACGTCCGGCGCAGCCTCCGCCCCGGACCGCTCCGGCTGCAACCCCAGCAGCCCCGCCAGCGCCAGCGGCGCCGGCCGCGGCGCGCGCACCTGCGGCGGCGCCCGCCCAGCGGCGCCCGCCGCGGCTCCCTCACGCGCGCCCGGCCACTCTCGCGCGGCGCAGCCTGGGTCTGCGGCAGAGCCGGCCTCTGATATCTCCCGCATGAGATTCTTTCTCACCAGCCGGACGCCCGCCCTGACCTCCTCCTCATCATCTTGAGGCCCGCCCCGCGGCGCCCCCGCCGCGGCGCCCTCTCGCGGGGTCGTCCGGCTGTAGTGGCGCGCACCTGGCCGCGATCCGCCGCCCCCGCCCCCAGAGTGGTGGGACTGCTGAGAGTGCAGGCACGAGCTGAGGGGCATGAACTCGACGCCCGAGCCGGCCACCGCCGGGCTGCCGGCGGTCGCGGCGCCGCCTCGCATGGAGCGTAGCGGGCTGAAGGGGTCGGCGGCCGAGCCAGGCCCTGACGACGGCAGCGCGTGCGCGTGCGCGTGCATGTTTGTGTGCGCGCCGGCGGGGCGCGAGCTGCGGACGCTGGTCGCCGGGGACGCGGCGCCCGCTGCGGCGGGGGCGGCGCTGTGGCTCGGCGGGTGCTGCAGGTAGGTCCAAGCGGCGGCCGGCCCTTGCACCGGCCCTGCAGGGTGCTGCTGCTGCTGCTGCTGCTGCTGCTCTTGCTGCTGCCACTGGAGGTGCTGCATCGGCTCCGGGGAGACCGACGTCGACCCGCCATGCAATGCACCATGCACGCGGGCCTGTGGCTCCAACGAACACGCCGCGCTGCCAGCTTCGCCGTCGCTGCGGGCGCCCGCACCCGCAGCAGCGCCGCCAAAGGGCTCGCTCTCGTCCCAACCAGACGCCGCCGGCGACAAGGCACCCATGCGCTTGCCGCCGCCACCACCGAGCAGCACCCGCCGGCGCGCCGGCCGCCCCGCCTCGCGGCTGTCGCTTGCCTCGGCGGCCGGCCCCGCGGCCGCGGCCGCGCCCCTGCTGCCCTCCCTGCTGACGTCATCGCCGCTGACGTCATCGCCGTCCTCCGACACCAGCTGGGCAAAGACGCTGCTGGCCGGGGGCCCGCAGCCCCGCTCGCCCGCGGGGCGCCCGTCGCAGCTCTCGCTGCGCTCGCCCCCGCCATCAGCCAGCGCCGCGAGCCAGGCCGCGTCGGCGTCGTCGTCCCGGCCCTTTTCAATCTCCTGCACCTGACACGTCGCGACCTTGTACACCTGAGTATGCGTGCACGCGTCCCTGCCGCCGCCGCCGCCGCCGTGGCGCTCGACCCTCACCACCACCGCCACCGGCTCCGCGCTCCCTGCGCCTCCTTTGTCGCCCTCGCCCTCGCCGGCGCCCAGCCCCCGCGAGCCGCAGAGCGCGAGGCGCGGCGTCGTCGCGCCGGCCGCCGCCGCCGCTGCGGCGGAGGGCTCTGCGCCGCCGGAGGTTTGCCCCCAAAGCGTTGTCTCCAGCGCCCACGACGCCGCAACAGCCGCCATCGGCTGTGAAAGGGACCGCTCAGGCCCCCGCCACTGCACCCGGGCGCACTCGCCCCGCCCACCAACCAAGCCGCCTCCGCAGCTGGAACTGTCTGACGAGTCACGGGCGTCCTCGTGGCCCCGCCACCCGGGCCACCCCACTATGCTCGATCCCGAAACGCCGCTCACACCCGGCAACCGAAGGGTCAGATCCGACGACCGCCCATCCGTGCAGGCGGCCCCTCCGCTGACGCCGCCGCCGCCGCCGCTCCCCACAGCCGCGGCAGCACGCCCGCCGCCGCTCATGGGGCCGCCCGCGTCGTCCGGCGCCGGCCGGCCGCCGCCGGGCCCGCCCTGTGGTTGCGGCCTCGCGCTGCGCGGCGGCGTCCCGGGGTCGCTCTGCGCGAGTGGCAGCCCCCTCCTCTGGCCGGCACGCAGCGGCGACGCAGCGTCACACAGGGCGGCCGGCGCGGCTGTGGCCGCGGCGTAGGCGCCAGCGGCGGCAGATGGTAAATCAGGGGTGCCCCATTTTTGGGAGAACCGCAGCCCAAAGGATGGCTGGCTGGATTGCGCGCGGCGCTGCAGGAGCGCCGCGCTCGCGGCGGCCACGGCGTCGGCGCTGCGCGGCGAGCAAACACCGGGGTTTCATGGCATCGGGTGGTGCAGCGGGTTGAAAGGACCTGGAGAGAGAAATCATCATCTAGGCAAAGCACGCAGCAATATTTGATGTGTCCCCAAGGGGCCCGATTGCGGCCCAAGCCCTTTGCACCCTTCAGCCCCCGCCCCTTGTAGCATCCTCACCCAAGCGCGTCGCCTGCTGCTGGCGTAACTTCCCCTGATGGGCCGCCTGTGTTCGGAGCATCCCCCAATGGCTCCTCGGCTTCCGGTCGCCCCGCATCCGCTGCATCCCTTTCGATGCAGACCGGCGGCTGTGCAGCTTCCGGGGCAGAGGCCTCTTGCGCGCCGATCACAGCTGACAGCTGCAGCCGTGGCACAACGGCAGGCCGGGAGCCAGCCAGCCCTCTGCTGAGCTGGATGGGCCCGACCGCGCCCGCACGGCCTTGGCCGTTGCCGTCCGGTTGCGCTCCCAGACCCGCCCCCGTCGCCGCACCGCGCCGTAGCTGCGCCGGGCCCGTTGCGCCCGGCATGTTCAGCCGCCGCGGCGTCTTTGCAGCCGCCGCCGGCGAGTCTGAGCCTGGCTGCGCCGCCGGGGACCCCCTGCCGGCGCGCGCTGCGGCCGCGCGGCGCTGCTCCTGCTGCAGCAGCTGGGCACGCGTCAGGCGGACCCCCATGCACGTGGCCTTTGTCGGAGTCAGCGCCTGGGCGGCGCCCGCCGGCGGCGGCGCACGAGGCGACAAAATCGCGCGGCAGGCGGCGGCGGTCGCCGGCGGTTGCTGCCTCGGCGCCTCCTGCGGCTGCCTTGCCTGCTGCTGGTGCCGGGGTGTGCACGCGTCGCTGCGGTGTGGCGTCGCTGCCTGCGCTGCGTCAGTTGCTTGAGCGCCGCAGCTCCTGCGACCGGGCGCAGGCGACACGGCCGGGCGCGGCCGGCCCTGCGGGCCCAAGCCTGTGGGCGAAAGTGCCATCTCTGCGACGGACGGCGGCCGCATCGCGCCGCGTGCCGCGCCGCCGCCGCCGCCGCCGCCCGCGTTGCCGCCGGGCGGCGGGGCGTCGGGCTGCAAGTAGGTCACCGGGACGCAGGCGATGCCCGCCGTCGCGGCAGCCGTCGCGGCGGCCTGCAGCCACGCCGACGCCGGCGACAGCCAGCCGCCGACCCCGCCCTGCGGCGCCGCCGGAAGGTCGAGGCTCCCGCGCCCCGCCGCATCCGCGGTCTCTCGCTTCGGCCGCTGCTGCTGCTGCTGCTGCGCGTGCTCCTGCTGCTGGTCATGCTGCTCGCCGGCCGGCCCCGAGGCGCCCAACCCCTTGGGGCAGACGCCGAGCCCGTCTGCCAGCGGCTCAGGCATCACCTCCTTTCGCCCCTCCTCCCCTCGCCCCTCCTGATGCGACCTCTGAGCCGGCTGAGCCGCACTGGCCTCGTTCTTGCTGGGATGCTGCTGCTCCTCATGCCCGGCACGAGCTGAATGCTGGGAAGCCACCTGCCCCGCCTCAGCACCGCCAGACTCCCGCCCTGCAGCCAGGCCCAGCTCCGCTGCAGGGCCCGCGGCTGCCCCCGAGCCGCCGGCCCCAGTGCTTCGCCTGAGGAACGACGAACACACCTCTCCTGGGGTGTCGCCGCCGGCGATGCCCCGCAGCGCGCCGGACGCCGACGCGGACACCGAGGCGCCGGCCATCGTCGCCGTCGTGCGGGATGCGGATCCGGGGCCGTCGCTGCCGCGGGGGCTGCTAGGGGCGGATTGGGAGCCGCCATACCTGCAGAGATGGCGATTTAAGGGTGTGAGGCCATGAGAACGATTGAGTTCGACGCGTACGCTTTTGTGGCCTGTGGGGGGCTCCGCTCCGCATGCAGCGTACGCACAGGGCTGCTTCGAGCAAGGCTGTGAGCGCGGTGCAGGGTCTTGATCATTACCTGGTGCGTGCCCCCGGGCGGTTCCACTGAAATGGCGTGAAGGCCTTTGCATTTGGCGGGTTGGGAGATGCGGCAGCTGCCCGCTCTGCGGCGGAAGCTGCGGACGGCGTTGGTGCCGCACTGTCACTCTCATGTTGCTGGTGCTGCTGCTGCTGCTGCTGCTGGACAAGCCCCTGCTCTGGCCACAGCACTTGTTCCTGCGACCCATGCGGCAACAAAACGCGCTCGTCCTCCTCACCCTCCTGCTCCTGCCGCTGCCGCACCGCTGTCGCCTGCGTCGCCGCCTCTGCTGTCCCGCCGTCGCCCGGCCGCGGCTCCACCGCTCCAACAGGCGGCTCGGGCTGCTCGCCGGCGCCGTCCATCAAGCCGCCTGCTTCATCAACCGGTTGAGCGTGCGCGGGCGGCGGGGGCTGCTGGCCGTCGGCCTGCTCTAATCCTAGCAGCTCGTAGCCCAACAGCTGCAGCTGCGAGCCGCTGTCGCGCAGCCCCTCGGCGCCTGCGTGGCCGGCTGGCTCGGGCGCGTCTGTTGCTGAGGCCAGCCCTATACTTGAAAGGCTCTGGTCAGGCCGCTGCGCCGCAGGCGCGTCACCCGGGGCCTCCGGCGCCGCCGGCTTTGCCGCGGAGCGCCGCGCCTCGCCTGCCGGGGCCAGCGGCGGCGCCGGGCGGCTGCAATCCGCCGAATCAGCTGAGGAGTCGGCGGGGCCGGGCTCATTGGCGGAGCCGCAACTCAGCCAGCTCTCCTCGTCCTCCTCAGCCAAATCGCTCTCTGCAGCGGCTACAGCAGCGCCCGGGCCGCGCGCCGCCCGCCAGCTGCGCGGGGGGCTGGCATGTGTGACAAGCTGCTGCAGCAACCGCCGCCGCGCCGGCGAGTGGGTGCTGGCCGCCTTTGAGTGCTGCTGCAGGTGGTGCTCCGGCTGGAGCTCCTCTGTGAGTGGTATCGTGGTAAGAAATGCAGCGCGGCAGCTTGCCATCATCCGCGGAAACGAGGGTACATCGATGCCCCAGCCCGCCAAGGTGATTGACCAAGAAACAAGTCGCTACTGTGGACCAGCTGTCAGCGGCCTGAGCAACAGCCAGCCGGCGTCCAGGATGCGCATACCTGCGGCTTCTGCAGCCCCCAGTGAGGTGTCTCGCGCCGGGCTGCTGTGCATCTGCTCCGGATCACCGAACGGCGTCACACGCGTTGCGCGTGTGCGCCCTTTGCTCCTTCCTGCTGCTGAACGCGATCCCAAGTCAACCGTATGCTGTGATCATTATATACATATGATGTCAGCTGCTGATCAGACAGCGCGCAAGGGCCCGTTCAACATTGAAGGTCCGTTCAACAATGCGTGCAGATCAGCGTCTCTCGAGCAGCTACGAGCTCGAAGCAGCGGAATAGCAGGCTTGATGCAATCAGCTTTGTGTATGACCTGCTTTCCTGCGGCGCCAGCACGCGCCAGCTACTGCAGACTGTCTGCTAAGCACTGCTAACGTGGGCGGGTGGGCAGCTGCTTTGTGAATACCGATGGCGAAGCGGCTCCAGTACGGTACCACAGGCCACGCGAGAGGTAGCTGGGTTATATATGCACACACTTGTGTATGACAGCTGCAGTTAATCCCGCGTCCTCACACGCAAGTTCCAGTCATCGAGTCTGTGCCCCCACTTATTCCTTTTATTCGTGGACGCTATATCCGAAAAGCTGCACATTGAATACACCACAGAGCGAGCCGCAATGAACGGCACTGCAGCCGGCAGCCTGCCGCGCCTTGCCGGGAGGGCGCTATGGCTGGCGAGCGGCGGCCGCCAGCAGCGGCGGGGGGGCCTGATGCGCGCCTGGGCTGCGGCATCAGCTGCCGGCTACCAGCAGGCGCCGCGCAGCGCCCGGCCGCAGCGCCAGCGGCCACAGCGGCCCGGGCAGCAGCGGGGCGGGGGCGGCGGCGGCGGTGCCG